ACACGCACACGCGCACACACACGCACACAAACACATACCACGCGCGCGTGTGTATGTATTATATTATATATATATATATATATTCTACATATACATACATATATATTATATATATATGCATCAATATCATTTACTAAATAAAATGTATGTAAAAGACAGAACAGTGCAATTAAAATAATAATCTTTATTTGTATTCATATATGTAAATAATATGGTATGTTTCTCGTTTATGAAGAAATTATTTGTACAAAATTAAAATAACTAATATATTTGTTTTATTGTTATTTTTTCTCTCAGGAGAAAATATTTTGTCCAAGGCACGTAAGAAACTTGTTACGGGCCTGAGTAGGTCGATAATTCTGATCGTTTCTGTGATCCAGCAAGGCACATTTTATGACAGCGCCGCTGTCGCAATATCGAGGAACTAAAATAGTGCTCGGTGTCATGGCTCCACGTCAGTTTTATTCGTAGCATACGAACGAAATTTTTGGCGACTCTTTCCTCTTATACTAAAGCTCCCAGCTCATTTGTACAGGCATAGTATTGTTCTTCGAGGTTTTCTGTAGGCTGCTAGCTACTTATTTTAAACAGGTAAAATCTGAAACTCTTATATGCAGCACATATTGTGACGTGTCGACTACAGAAGCCGATAACAAAACTGTAAGTTTTAAATTTTCTTTCATTTTTCGTATTAAATTGTAGCTGGCAGCCTGTGTTGTTATCGATACTTTAATTGTGGAGAAGGACTTTTCAATCCATAAACACAATTAAGAGAAAAGAGTCTTCAAAAATTAAATAGTAAAACAGGACACTCCAGCATCCCCTTAATAAATTTCTTATCTATTTCAATTCCTCTTGTTGGAAATACGCCCTCAATACCATAGAGGGCGAGACGCATGTTACCGGCGGAGCGTCTTGTTGAATAGTTAGTACGAGGACGGCACGACAAGCAAGGCGACAACAACCGTTCCCGGCATTTTTCTTACCATTCTTTTTATTGTTATATACTGAGAATCCGAGACGGAAGCTCTAATTTAGTTTTGTGTTCGCAATAAAATAGCGTGTTCGAGCATCATAAAAGAGAGGTGTTTACTTTTATCGAAGTCCTTGTGATCCCAAAACCCGCGCCTGCAACATTCTGGCGACCATGACAGGACTATTCGAGTGATTTCGTTGTAGTCGCCCTAGAGCAAAGAGAGATCACAGGGAAACGATCCATGGACATGGATCGAGTAAAAGTAACACTAAGAGTGACACGAGCCGATTTTACGAGAGTATACACCTCTTTCCGGACTGAGAAGTCGAAGGAATTGCCGGACATAACCTCGTTACAAGTCAGTTTCGCATTGATACGAGAAAAAGCGGGTGAGCTTAATGAATTAAATCTGAAGCTGCGGACCTTGATCGAAGCTGAAGAATCCGAAGAAGCCATTGAGAAAGAAGCACGCAGACGAGTACATTGCAAAATATCATCAGGCAAAGGTCGAATTAACCTGTCTATTAGAGCCGAAAAATGAACCCGAAGCGCCGACACCGACCCCGTCGCGACAGCCTACGACAACACAGGAAAGTATACGCGCATTAAAATTACCGAAAATCGAACTGAGAAAGTTTGGCGGTAATATCAAAGATTTGCTTCCGTTTTGGAGCACTTTTAAAAAAATTCACGAAGATACAGCATTGTCGAGAGAGGATAAATTCCAATATCTGATACAATCCATGGTAAAGGACTCGCGCGCGTTCGAAGTAGTAAATAGTTTTCCACTAACGGCCGGCAATTATGTGAAAGCCATACACAGCCTCGAGTCTCGATTCGGTAAAAATGACCTGTTGATTGAATATTATGTACGCAAACTCTTAAAATTAGTCTTGAACAAAAACAAAAATGTGTCTCTCACAACCACTTATGACAAATTAGAGACATATATTCGAGCATTGGAGACTTTAGGCGTGACCACAGAAATGTGGGCAGCAATGTTATTCCCTTTGGTAGAGTCTTCGTTGCCTGAAGAAACTTTACGTACATGGCAACGAACTATGACCCAGTTTACTCCTCAATCTGACACGCCCTCTGTAAATGTTACGGCAAAGGATCGCCTTACGAGTCTAATGACTTTTCTAGGAAGAGAGGTCGAGAGCGAGGAGCGTATTCAGATGGCAAAGGCGTGCTTCGAGAATGATTCTCAGACGACAAAAGACAAAAATAAGAAGTCAAAAGGTGAACGAGGTCCAGAGATAGCGACGGTGTCCGGCCTACTGTCGGTGAAAGAAGAAAAACCACAACGATGTATGTTCTGTGACGCCAGTCATGATAGTTTGAATTGTGGGACAGCCAGGAATATGGATTTGGAAAAAAGAGTGCAACTAGTGAAAGACAAACAAGGCTGTTTTAACTGTTTGAAAACAGGACACAGCTACAAAAGATGTCGCAACAAAATAAAATGCGCTTGGTGCATCAAAGGACATAGTCTGTTGATGTGTAGGAGCCTGTCAAATAAGAACGAGCCAAAGCAAGCGGACGAGAAGAAGCCTAATGAACCAGGTTTTCATGAGGGAAACAGTTGTCTCGCTAATACCTCTTCGAATGCAAAAATGTTCTTACCTACACTGAAAGCCAAAATGCGAGGCCCAAAAGGCTTAGTGAATATTCGCGCTATTATAGATACTGGCTCACATAGATCCTATGTTTTGGAAAAGGTAGCCAAAGATATCGGATATTAGACAGAGAGCGAACAGACGATGGTGTACTTATTATTTGGAGGGACTAAGACCAAGCCTCGGAAACACAAAACTTGTCGAATCCACATCGGCAACTTAGAGGAAACCTATAAATGTGATTTCGTGGCTCTACAGCAAGATATTATCTGCCTAGACACCCCCGGTAAGATTGACGACCCATGGATGGATACGCTCAAAGAAAAGGACATACATTTGAGCGTCACGGGTGAGCGTTAAGAGTCCATTGTTAATCGGAGCTGATGTTGCCGGAAAAATATTCACTGGTAAAGTTCTACAGATAAATCAAGAAATAACGGCCTTAGAAACTAAGCTTGGATGGACGATCTTAGGCAGAAATACCGATAACAGCGACGCTGACACTACGCTGACTATTATATCAATGTTTATCCAAAAAGCTGATAACTCAGATTTATGGAGACTCGATGTTCTGGGCATTACGGATCCGATGGAGAATGTTACAAAAGAGGCACATCAAGCTGAAATAAAGACCTCATTTCAAGAAACAATAAGAATCGATGATGAAGGTCGATACGAAGTTCTCCTCCCCTGGAAAGAGAATCATCCACCTTTACGAGATAATCGAGATGTAGCGGAGAAAAGGCTAAAAGCTGTTACAAAGAAATTGCGGCAAGAAGATTTGTTTGTTGAATACCAGGCTGTTTTAGACAATTGGCTTGAAGAAGCGATTATCGAAAGAGTACCTGCATCTGAAATCGATCAAGAGAGTCGCTATCTTCCGCACAGGCCTGTAGTCAAGAAAGAAGGGACTACGAAGATACGTCCTGTTTTCGATGCATCAGCGAAAACCAAGAAGTCGCCTTCACTTAACCAGTGCCTGGAGACTGGACCTAATCTTATGGAGCTCATTCCAGCACTGTTACATTGGTTTCGAGAAAGGAAAACAGGGGTAACGGCCGATGTCGAGAAGGCCTTCCTACAAATCAACGTCTCCCCGTCGGATAGAGATGTTTTGAGATTCCTGTGGTGGAAAGTTGACAGAGAGATAGAGATTTACTGACATCGTCGAGTCGTCTTTGAATTAACAAGTAGCCCATTTCTTTTAGGGGCAACAATTGAATTGCATATTAACAGAGCTGTGAACTCCACTATTTCGCCAGATAAGAAATTAATTTATGAGAAACTAACAAAATCCTTTTACGTCGATGACTGTGTTACTAGTGTCGATTCTTATTCTGATTTTGAAATTTTCAGGAGAGAAACCAGTTCCCTTTTGGCGCAGGCCAAGTTTAACCTAAGAGATTTGAAATACTCTGGTAGAGATTCTGGTGACCGATCAACAGTGCTCGGACTTATATGCGACACCATAAGTGACATTCTAATGTTACCGGAATTTCCTACACCAACGATCACAGAGAAGATAACAAAGAGAGTCATCCTATCACAAGTACAGAAAGTCTATGATCCTCTTGGATTCATCTGTCCTGTACTGTTAAAACCAAAATTACTATTGCAAAGTCTGTGGAGCCAGAACGTGGATTGGGACACAGAAATAGACTACGCCGTGAAGCACGAATTTCTTGAATGGATTCAGCAACTAGGTCTCCTACGAGTATTGAAATTCCCACGATGGATTTTTGGAGAAGAAAGAGATCCCAACTCGCTGTCCTTTCATGTTTTTGTTGACTCCAGCAAAGACGCATACGCGGCAGCAATCTTCGTACCAGTTGAATCAAGCACAGGAGTCGAGGTACATCTCGTGGAAGCCAAAACAAGAGTAGCACCCAAGGAAAAGAAAACCATACCTCGCCTTGAGTTATTAGCAGCCTCCATTGGAGCTAGAATGATACAATCCTTCATTAAGACCATGAATTATCAAAATATCACGATCTGTTGCTGGAGTGACTCCATGACTGTTCTAACATGGATCCGACGGACAAATCAATGGGCAGTTTTCGTATGGAATCGTGTTCTGGAAATAAGGAACCTTACGGATGTTGAATCCTGGAGATATGTTCCGGGGGCCATGAACCCGGCAGATTTACCTTCCCGAGGTTGTGATGCTAAGAAATTCCTCGAATTGAAATGGTGGGAGGGACCGGAATGGTTGAAACTACCTCCCGAAGAATGGCCCCAAGAGGAGGGAAAAATTGACGAGAACATGGTCAATTCAGAGTTACGCAAGACTTCCAGACGTGGCGAGAAGAGGACGTCCTTCGAGACTACTATGTTAAACTCCACAGAACAAACTGATAGAGAAATAATCCCCTGGTACTTGCAGAGATTTTCAATGTATCCCAAAATTTTGTGTACCGTTGCATGGATATTAAGATTTATAAATAACTGTCGAAGAACCCACGTGAACAAAACTCAAGAATTAAATGCAAAAGAAATCACTGAGGCAGAGTTGATTCTCTGTAGATTAGCACAAAAAGAATCACTCCTGGGTAACAATAACCCACGACTACGAAATCTAAATGTTTTTGAAGAGAATGGATTAATACGTACAAAGACGATGATCTCCAATCGTCAAGATACCTTTTCTTTTAGATGTCCCATAGTGTTGGATCCAGATCATTTATTGACATTGAAAATTATCTCTTACACTCATTTGAAACTGAATCATGCTGGGATCGATATTGTAATGAATCGCCTACGCGAGAAGTTTTGGATCCTACAATGCCGTCGAGCGGTGCGGTCAGTTATAAGAAAGTGCATCGCCTGTCATAGGCATACCTCGAAGACAATGAAGGCACCACCTGGATCATTACCTGAGAACAGAGTGAGAGATGCTGCAGCGTTTGAAGTGATAGGTATCGATTACGCTGGACCACTTTTTTTGAGAGACGAGAAAAAGGCTTACATCTGTCTGTTTACTTGTATAGTCTATCGTGCAGTCCATCTGGAGTTGGTCACATCTCTATCAACAGAGGAATTTCTGGAAGCCTTCAGAAGATTCATTGCACGTCGGGGAAGACCTTCCATAGTATACAGCGACAATGGAAAAAATTTTGTAGGGGCTAAAAATCTACTACAGAAAATCAATTGGCGGAAAATTTCCCAATATTGTGCCCTCAACGAGATAACATGGCATTTTAATCCACCTTCAGCCTCCTGATGGAGGGGATGGTGGGAACGTCTTATCCGCCTTCTCAAAGATCTACTGAAGAGAACGTTAAAAAGAACGTCGTTGAACTACGAAGAAATGAACACTGTTCTATGTGATTGCGAAGCTACTATGAATTCAAGACCTCTCACTTATCTAACAGAGGAAAATACTGAGATCGTGACGCTCACTCCAGCAATGTTCATCAGTGACATTCCAGAAAATGGCGTTCCAGACTTGGATCAAGTTTATAAGTCTCAAAGAGGATACGCTATCGTCAAAGATTGAAAGAAGAATTTAGAAAACGTTTCCGTATACAATACTTGGAGCAATTAGCTAGACGAACTAAATCCAGCAATAGTTCTACGCCCGTAGCTGTTGGGGACATCGTGCTCATCGAAAACAATTCGCAAAAACGATTGGATTGGCCGCTGGCCGTCGTTAGAGAAATCTATCCCGGAAAAGACTAGGTAGTAAAACTAAAAACGAGCAAAGGCGAACTGATTCGGCCCATCCAAAGACTAATTCCCTTGGAAGTTAGACATTCCAGTCCTGAAGCCGATAATTTCATCAGAACTACTTCCACGACTACTGAGGGACCTGTAGTTACCATTCTTGAGGAATCCGCAGTTGTCCCAAAAGAAGAAACGAAATCATCAAAAGAAACGAACTTGAAGACCCGAAGTGGTCGTATTGTTAAGAAGCCAGTCCAGTTCGGATACTAACTACCCATCATTTTATTCCTATTACTTTTTGTGTGTTTTTCTAAGATAGGTTGATTTGCTCCTGCCCAGTCACAACTCAAGGTAGGAGAGATGTTGGAAATACGCCCTCAATACCATAGGGGGCGAGACGCATGTTACCGGCGGAGCGTCTTGTTGAATAGCTAGTACGAGGACAGTACGAAAAGCAAGGCGACAACAACCGTTCCCGGCATTTTTCTTACCATTCTTTTTATTGTTATATACTGAGAATCCGAAGCGGAAGCTCTCAATTTAGTTTTGTGTTCGCAATAAAATAGCGTGTTCGAGCATAATAAAAGAGAGGTGTTTGCTTTTATCAAAGTCCTCGTAATCCCAAAACCCGCGGCTGCAACACCTCTATTTCTTCAATAATTTTTAAATCTTCCACTACTTTTCCATAAAGGGTGGCACCCAGTTGGACACGGCTCAATTGGACACGAGCCACTCACAGCGCTTGAGACTACAAAACTCCTAAGCACTGGTCGCTGTGATTGGTGGTGTCCAATCGAGCCGTGATCAATCGGGATCACCCCTTCCAAAAACACTTTTATGATCTGATTCTTTACAGAGAGCAACAAGTTTAGTACAGTTTATATGACTCCGAAAGTTGTCTGGTATATTACCTAGAGTCATATAAATAGCCAATAATTTGTTTTTTTTGCAGAACCTATTGGGTTGACAATTTCAAATCCATCTTGATAAAGAATTATTTGTAAAGCTTCTAGATTATTTTTGAAAAAGGTGTTATTTCTGAAAACTGTTCCATCTGTAAAATCTTTTAAAAGTTCATGTTGGGGTTGTGATCTAAGATCAATTACATTTTGCAATGATTTATCACAGAAAAATTTTTTCAACGTATCTTGCACTGGCACATAAGCAAAATATTTTTGCGTTCCTTTAATTTTGATAAAGACTGGGTCGACATAATCAAAGTGTTTTTTATAAAATCTTTTTCTTTTATGATCTGTATTAAATATGTTTGTGGCGGTCTATTTGACACCACATACATATTTCGAACAACTCGAACGAAGCAAACTTCATGCGGATGCATTTGTTTCCAAGACCTACTTGAAGAGATTCGAAAAAAATTAATTTCTCAAGAAATTAATAGAAGGCCCATTTCGGTAGATATTCTCGTATTCTGAAAAACTCTGAACGGCTATATAAAGGCATGGCCAACGGCTTGATTTCGTCTCTTGCAACATACTGCAAGAGCATCCATCCTTTTTGTGGTGTAACCGTGGAGCCTGTCTCTCGTCGTTCACGGATCATTCCCTGGTGGAAGAAATCTTCCTCAGCGAGATCCAGCGAGCCGTTACAGTTTCAAGAGGTTACACCGAGTAATCCAACAGCAACTAAGCAACAGGGCGAATCAACATCCCCTCCAGTGATCTGGCGATTATTTAAGGTGGACAATTCATCACCGGTCCTCACAAGACCTCCGAGCTTCCTCCTGGCCGGTAACGACCCGAGGGTTAGGAGACCGCTGTCTCCCAGCTATTTCGCACCGCCGCCGCTCCTGTCTCCGCTACCGAAATCTCCGAGTGACTTCTCTACGAGGGCAACGCAGACCCTGCCTGTTCCTAGAGTTCACCGAGGAACGCTGAGCCGACCTACCGTAGTTCACCGGGAAACGCAGAGCGACTTCACATCACAGAAACAAACATACACACCACCAGGATCACCAACAAGCTACACACCACCAGACTCACCTCCTGGATCCTACTCTCTCGACCTTTCACGCAGAAGACTCTGGGGACCTAAGAGATTCACCCAGACAAAACCGACAATCTCTTATAGAGAAAGAATTATATAGTTTTTGTTATAAACGGCCCTTTTCAGGGCCACATAAATTGTAAACATAAAAACGGTCCTTTTCAGGACCAATTAATTTATAGAAAGTTAAATAAATTGTATCAAACGAACACGCTATCAAAAACCCTTCAATGTTATTACTTTGAATCCAAAGATTACAATTAAAAACTTCTTCGATAATTTGATTTATTTTATCAGATGAAACATTTTCAGCTAAAAGAGATTCTTGTAACTTTTGTCGAGCAACTTTCTGTTCTTCGCCATAGATATTATTCATTTCAGTTACTATGTATTGAATTGTTGATGCTGGAAGTAGTAATTTACTCTCTAGTTTCAAATAAAATTGACCAACATTTTTAATGAATAATTTTGATTCAACATCAGCATCATATTGAATTTTAAAAGGCTCATATTGCACTGTCATATTAGATTGGTCATCAAATTCGAGCAGTGCATTGTTTAATGACTCTTCAGATTCAGCAACAACTTCTTGAATACTACAATTCTCAGAATTTTCAACAGTATTACAATTTTCAAGATTTTTTACTGTTACTGCTTGATCACAGTTTCTGTGAATTTTTGATACATGACTGGTAAAAGAACATAAAATGGAATACTTTTTTTCGCACTTTCGAAACGGACATAGAATTTCTTGTTTCTTACTAATGTGCATTTTCAAATGTTTTATAAAAAGATGAAAATTATCAAATTCTTTTTTGCAAATGTTGACTGTACATACAAATTTTCCTGATTTATCTGCAGAACAAGCGACGTACGGAAGTTGTTGCTTTTTTGCTCGTAATCCATGAGTTCTAATTAAGTGTGTTTTTAAATATGCACTACTTTGGAAGATTTTTTACATCCATGATATCCACAATAATAGAAACGAGTAATGTTTCTATGATAATTATGATGGTATAAATGTGTTTTTAAAGATGGAGTTTCAAAATTGCAAAAGTTGCAGTGAAACATCTTAATCTGTAACATGTTACATTTACAAATCTTTATTAAATTTATAGTTAGAGTCATTAAGTTTGAACATTTATCGTTAGAGTAGAATATTGTTATATTAGAGAAAAAAGCAAACTTTTAATT